GTCCGACGAAGTTTCGTCGGTCCGACGAAGTGTCCGACAAAGTTCATCCATTTCAACGGAACGTCCACGAATGAAATGAATCATTAGGCAGGCTCGTTTTCAGCGAAGCCCAAGCTCTGCATTGCGCAGAATCTGTCACCGGCACGTCAGTTTCCGTCATCCTTGCCAGGGAATATCTATGACATATCTGAGGACATTCCCAGCAAGTCTGCCATTTCAGGCCGCGTCAGTTTCCGTCATCCTTGCCAGGGAATATCTATGATATATCTGAGGACATTCCCAGCAAGTCTGCGATTTCAGGCCGCTCCAGGTATTCGACGGTACCGGTACCAGGAGCGGCCTGTAACTGGACCTAAACGCGCCGAGTCAGCTTTTTGGGGGTGTTGTTCGGACAAAATGAGGGGAGTAGTATAGTCTTCAATTGTTTACGCAAGTTAGTCTGACTGTGTTGGGATATGACGAAATATGAGTTTTTACGTTCCAAAAGAAACTATTCAAGTACGAGGTTTTTGACACGTGCGATCGGACTTTGATCATGCGCGATGTCGGGATTCGACGCAAGTATGCCGGACGCAAGTCTGTCGGACAATCTGTATCCACACAAACGGGAAAAGATCCTGTACAAGTGGAATATCGATGTTGTGTACGATGCAGTAGGGAATTATGCAAGATATCCCAAAGTACTGCATTTAACACAGAATTGCCGTAGAAGTCGAATCGAGTTCTGTAAACAAGGGATTTTCCAAGGGAAAATCGTCGAACTCACTTTTGTGATTGAATCATCAATTCAAGCCAAACATTAATCAAATAGGAACAATTTTATACCTAGACACAGGAGAACTATTGTCGTGAAAGTGTTGTACAGTCGATTACGAATTTAGATTGCAGAGAGTTTGTTCTGAGCGCTAAAAGCACTCACGATAGAGCACATTTTGCTTTATTCTAACAGACTGGAGCATCTTTCTTTTCAAAACTACTCGGCGTGCGTGCCCTTTTGATCTGGTTCCGAACCGTTGAACCTTCGTCCAAGTGGACAAAAATAGTCGAACCTTCGTCGAGTCCGACTATTCTTGTCGGAGTCCGACTATTCTCGTCGGAGTCCGACTATTCTTTGTCGAAATGGACGAAATGGATGAAATGGACGAAACTGATTTCAGAGCTCGCAAGAATCTTGCATGACGAAAACTTCAAATTTGCATTATCGGGCTGGTAGTGGCAAGCTGGTCCAAGGAGGATGACATGCAAAAACGGCAAAAAACTGTACACTAGAAAACAAGAAACGGTAACTAAATAGAAAAGGGCAGGTTCTATCTCTCCACAGCAATATGCCGAAGTTGCCAGAGATGTTTACAGACATGTTGCATACTTTCAGAAATTCAAACGTCAACAACAAATTGTACTACCGGTAACAGATGAGTGATAGATTTAGGATTCATCCGATCAAGAGGTTTAAAAAATAATCTGCCTTATTCCTAATGCGACCATGTTTCGTCGGGTCCGACGAAGTTTTGTCGGGTTCAACGAAGTTTCGTCCGGTCCGACGAAGTTTCGTCGGTCCGACGAAGTGTCCGACAAAGTTCATCCATTTCAACGGAACGTCCACGAATGAAATGAATCATTAGGCAGGCTCGTTTTCAGCGAAGCCCAAGCTCTGCATTGCGCAGAATCTGTCACCGGCACGTCAGTTTCCGTCATCCTTGCCAGGGAATATCTATGACATATCTGAGGACATTCCCAGCAAGTCTGCCATTTCAGGCCGCGTCAGTTTCCGTCATCCTTGCCAGGGAATATCTATGATATATCTGAGGACATTCCCAGCAAGTCTGCGATTTCAGGCCGCTCCAGGTATTCGACGGTACCGGTACCAGGAGCGGCCTGTAACTGGACCTAAACGCGCCGAGTCAGCTTTTTGGGGGTGTTGTTCGGACAAAATGAGGGGAGTAGTATAGTCTTCAATTGTTTACGCAAGTTAGTCTGACTGTGTTGGGATATGACGAAATATGAGTTTTTACGTTCCAAAAGAAACTATTCAAGTACGAGGTTTTTGACACGTGCGATCGGACTTTGATCATGCGCGATGTCGGGATTCGACGCAAGTATGCCGGACGCAAGTCTGTCGGACAATCTGTATCCACACAAACGGGAAAAGATCCTGTACAAGTGGAATATCGATGTTGTGTACGATGCAGTAGGGAATTATGCAAGATATCCCAAAGTACTGCATTTAACACAGAATTGCCGTAGAAGTCGAATCGAGTTCTGTAAACAAGGGATTTTCCAAGGGAAAATCGTCGAACTCACTTTTGTGATTGAATCATCAATTCAAGCCAAACATTAATCAAATAGGAACAATTTTATACCTAGACACAGGAGAACTATTGTCGTGAAAGTGTTGTACAGTCGATTACGAATTTAGATTGCAGAGAGTTTGTTCTGAGCGCTAAAAGCACTCACGATAGAGCACATTTTGCTTTATTCTAACAGACTGGAGCATCTTTCTTTTCAAAACTACTCGGCGTGCGTGCCCTTTTGATCTGGTTCCGAACCGTTGAACCTTCGTCCAAGTGGACAAAAATAGTCGAACCTTCGTCGAGTCCGACTATTCTTGTCGGAGTCCGACTATTCTCGTCGGAGTCCGACTATTCTTTGTCGAAATGGACGAAATGGATGAAATGGACGAAACTGATTTCAGAGCTCGCAAGAATCTTGCATGACGAAAACTTCAAATTTGCATTATCGGGCTGGTAGTGGCAAGCTGGTCCAAGGAGGATGACATGCAAAAACGGCAAAAAACTGTACACTAGAAAACAAGAAACGGTAACTAAATAGAAAAGGGCAGGTTCTATCTCTCCACAGCAATATGCCGAAGTTGCCAGAGATGTTTACAGACATGTTGCATACTTTCAGAAATTCAAACGTCAACAACAAATTGTACTACCGGTAACAGATGAGTGATAGATTTAGGATTCATCCGATCAAGAGGTTTAAAAAATAATCTGCCTTATTCCTAATGCGACCATGTTTCGTCGGGTCCGACGAAGTTTTGTCGGGTTCAACGAAGTTTCGTCCGGTCCGACGAAGTTTCGTCGGTCCGACGAAGTGTCCGACAAAGTTCATCCATTTCAACGGAACGTCCACGAATGAAATGAATCATTAGGCAGGCTCGTTTTCAGCGAAGCCCAAGCTCTGCATTGCGCAGAATCTGTCACCGGCACGTCAGTTTCCGTCATCCTTGCCAGGGAATATCTATGACATATCTGAGGACATTCCCAGCAAGTCTGCCATTTCAGGCCGCGTCAGTTTCCGTCATCCTTGCCAGGGAATATCTATGATATATCTGAGGACATTCCCAGCAAGTCTGCGATTTCAGGCCGCTCCAGGTATTCGACGGTACCGGTACCAGGAGCGGCCTGTAACTGGACCTAAACGCGCCGAGTCAGCTTTTTGGGGGTGTTGTTCGGACAAAATGAGGGGAGTAGTATAGTCTTCAATTGTTTACGCAAGTTAGTCTGACTGTGTTGGGATATGACGAAATATGAGTTTTTACGTTCCAAAAGAAACTATTCAAGTACGAGGTTTTTGACACGTGCGATCGGACTTTGATCATGCGCGATGTCGGGATTCGACGCAAGTATGCCGGACGCAAGTCTGTCGGACAATCTGTATCCACACAAACGGGAAAAGATCCTGTACAAGTGGAATATCGATGTTGTGTACGATGCAGTAGGGAATTATGCAAGATATCCCAAAGTACTGCATTTAACACAGAATTGCCGTAGAAGTCGAATCGAGTTCTGTAAACAAGGGATTTTCCAAGGGAAAATCGTCGAACTCACTTTTGTGATTGAATCATCAATTCAAGCCAAACATTAATCAAATAGGAACAATTTTATACCTAGACACAGGAGAACTATTGTCGTGAAAGTGTTGTACAGTCGATTACGAATTTAGATTGCAGAGAGTTTGTTCTGAGCGCTAAAAGCACTCACGATAGAGCACATTTTGCTTTATTCTAACAGACTGGAGCATCTTTCTTTTCAAAACTACTCGGCGTGCGTGCCCTTTTGATCTGGTTCCGAACCGTTGAACCTTCGTCCAAGTGGACAAAAATAGTCGAACCTTCGTCGAGTCCGACTATTCTTGTCGGAGTCCGACTATTCTCGTCGGAGTCCGACTATTCTTTGTCGAAATGGACGAAATGGATGAAATGGACGAAACTGATTTCAGAGCTCGCAAGAATCTTGCATGACGAAAACTTCAAATTTGCATTATCGGGCTGGTAGTGGCAAGCTGGTCCAAGGAGGATGACATGCAAAAACGGCAAAAAACTGTACACTAGAAAACAAGAAACGGTAACTAAATAGAAAAGGGCAGGTTCTATCTCTCCACAGCAATATGCCGAAGTTGCCAGAGATGTTTACAGACATGTTGCATACTTTCAGAAATTCAAACGTCAACAACAAATTGTACTACCGGTAACAGATGAGTGATAGATTTAGGATTCATCCGATCAAGAGGTTTAAAAAATAATCTGCCTTATTCCTAATGCGACCATGTTTCGTCGGGTCCGACGAAGTTTTGTCGGGTTCAACGAAGTTTCGTCCGGTCCGACGAAGTTTCGTCGGTCCGACGAAGTGTCCGACAAAGTTCATCCATTTCAACGGAACGTCCACGAATGAAATGAATCATTAGGCAGGCTCGTTTTCAGCGAAGCCCAAGCTCTGCATTGCGCAGAATCTGTCACCGGCACGTCAGTTTCCGTCATCCTTGCCAGGGAATATCTATGACATATCTGAGGACATTCCCAGCAAGTCTGCCATTTCAGGCCGCTCCAGGCACATGTTGAAATTCTCGAACCCATCTACGGTTCGAGAAAGTGTCCGATTGTATATATACTCGGCGGTTCAGACCAGTTGCTCTCTGCAAGTACTCATCAGAATGTGGATGGTCTCGTGACGGCTGATGCTGTGGAAAGCACAGATGCAGACCAAGCTTTGGAGATGAAGGAAGATGCCAGCGGTGTTGACAAGAAACCGAAGAAGGACAAGTCGACGGATGCTGGAAGCTTCATGATGGAATCAAGTGAAAACAACGAAGCACGGAATGACAGTTCGAAGGCAAGGAACTGGGAACGATTCAAACAGAAAAAGGGCGCTCAAACCTTTTGCTGCCTGCTTTTTATCTTTGTGGTTGCAATTGCCGCTGTTGGAGCATGGCTTGGCACTAGTACAACATCGTCGATCTCAAAGGGACCATCACAACTCGAAGGTGATGGAATCACAGGGACGAATGTCACAGATTTGAAGGCGGACACCGTCCCTCCAGCTCAGGATTCCGAAACGATTACAAGTTCACCTAGCGGATTTTCAAATAGCATCATTGACTTTGAACCACCCTCGGCAGAAGATTGTGCAGCCGTCGCTAGCAGAGCTACCATACAAGGACAAGAAGCAATGCCCGTGCAGAGATACAAGCTGGAGCTCGATGCGACTCCGTTTCTTCCTATGGATCTCAGTGTTTCAGCCGACATCATTGAGGAGAAGTTTCGAGAGTTGCTGGCTCTTGCACTAACTGGATGCAATCGGGTAGTCCGAAACTTGCGACGTCTTCGCTATCTGGAAGGTTCCTTTGTGTATGCGATTGGAAATGTGGCACTCGATGCGTCGGGAGTCGAGGGGACACAATGTGTCGATGATTCCAATCTACGGTGCCATCGGGTCAACGTTGCACTTGATATTGTGGTAAAGGATGATTCGGTGAATGTCGTTGATGTAATTGGTGAAGTCAGTACCTTTCTTGGAGATGGCGTACTTGCCGAAAAGCTTGAATTAGCTGGGCTCTATGACACAATTACTGTTACGAACTTGGGATACATCGATTCTGCGACACCTCCAAACAGCAACGATGTGGCTCCTTCAGTCGGTCCGACACCAACACCAACACCAACACTTGCATCTCCCACGCAACTGAGAACTTCAGATCCAAGTGCAAGTCTCGTTTTTGACTCTACTGTAGAGCCAACCAATCCACCAACATTTGTAGCGAACCCTCTGACAACTCCAAATCCAGCCCCTGTTCCAACACCTCAGCAACCAACTCCATCACCCACAACATTTCTTAATTCGCAATCATCTTTTAGGCCCACACAAATTCCGCAACAAATGACATCGACAACCCCTACATTTGTCATTCTGACCTTGACCCCAGAGCCTTCGCAGATGCCTTCCTCAGGCCCGTCCCTGTTCCCAAGCACTGTCCCCAGCACTGTCCCAAGCGCAATCCCAACCAAAATCCCAACGAAAGCCCCAACGAAAGCCCCAACGAAAGCCCCAACAAAATTCCCAAGCAAAAGTCCAACCAAACTTCCAAGCCCAAATCCCAGCGAAGCCCCAACCGAAGTTCCAAGCACAAGCCCATCAGTCGAACCGTCAAATCCTGTAATGCCATGCTTTCAATCGAATTCAGATCTTTCTACAGCAGTTGCTTATTTGCGTGCTTGGAAGTCTGGGTCGGGTTTTTCCTTTTTTGATCCCTTGTTTCGAGCCCGTACACGTTGGGAGGAGATCGAGGCGTTTTACGGACCAATCGAAAACTGGTGTTTCAGTCCAGATGTTACCAGCATGAAAGAGCTTTTCCGCGACAGTGGAAGTTTCAATCGTGACATATCGAATTGGGATGTTTCTTCCGTTACCGATTTGAGTTTCATGTTCAGAAGCGCAACCTTGTTCAATCAAGACATATCATCATGGGATGTTTCTTCTGCCATCACTATGGAGGACATGTTCAGCCAAGCAAAAGCTTTCAATCAAGACTTGTCATCCTGGGATGTTTCTTCTGTCAAAACAATGTGGGGTATGTTCAACCATGCATACTCGTTCAATCAAGACTTGTCATCTTGGGACGTCTCTTCTGTCACAATAATGAGGTACATGTTCCGCAGAGCAACATCCTTCGATCAAGACTTGTCTTCCTGGGATGTTTCTTCTGTCGTCAATATGTATGATATGTTCTATGAAGCAGAATCCTTCAATCAAGACTTGTCATCCTGGGATGTTTCTTCGGTCAAAGAGATGAACGGAATGTTTCTACGTGCATCATCCTTCAATCAAGACTTGTCATCTTGGGATGTTTCTTCTGCAACAAGGATTAATAAGATGTTCTACTACGCATCATCCTTCAATCAGAATCTTTGTTTGTGGGGCTCACGCATTCCAGGCAATGCCAATGTCGCCTCCATGTTTTCTGGCGCCACTAGCTGCCAATCACAATCCAATCCAAACCTCTCTGCAAATCCCCCAGGTCCATTCTGCCATGTTTGCAATTATTGACCTTCAATCATAGTATGTTTTAAAAAATAAAGTGTGTTCACTTTAAATAGTCCTAGATGGGAAAATAGATTGGAATAACTATACTGCGGTATTCATTTTCTCAAAATATGTCGGAATAATCGAACACTCCAGCGACAGCATTGTAAGCTTGGGAAAACCCAAGCATCTATGTCGCAGAGTGCAAGCAATATAAGGATAGGGGCCACTTTCCGATGCGATGCATTCTAGAGAAGATACGTCCGCGTGGGGCACATCAGTGTTGTTGGCGCATTTTTCATCTCGACCCCCACGGTCCATCACAATCCAGCGCAGATGTGGTCATCATCGAATCCTCTCGTATCCCAACATCGGAGTCACTATCGTTGGAACACGGATGGAAAGTGGATCATACCATGCCCGGGTTTAAAGGCTGCAGTGCTTTCCAAAAACTAATGGCGTTTAATTCTGACAATGGTGTTTCAGCGAGGTAGACAAATCCTTGCGTGGTCCACACTGACAGCTCTTTCTGGTGAGCAATGCGCCAAGTGAGCAATGTGCCAACATTCGTCATTGATCAAATGATCTTCGTGGTAGATTCCCACAATTCGTGATGAGACTTCGAAATTGTTTCATTCCAAAACGTTTGTCAATTTGCTGAGAATGCCCATTGGGTCTCATTTGTATTATAGTAGCATGTCTTGAATCACTGCGTCCATCTGCAGTTGCTTTGGCAATCGTGATACCATGGACATTCCGAAATCGTACAGTATCTGATGACGTCTTGGCTGGCAACCATACGCAGTACGTCGTTGAGTGATATAATGGCAATAATTTCTCATTCCGCCATCCTCAACGCAACGATCGCAGCCTTGCTCACTTCAAAAGACAAAGACTATAGTGCGATTACATTCATAAGATCCATCATTCAAGCCGTTCATTCCAAAATATACGAAGGAAAGAGTTCTTTGGCTTGTAGAAAACTTGACTTGCTACCCTACTGTTGTGTCGGAATAATAAGATTGCCGTCGACGTCGTGTTGCTGTATGCGAGGTTTTATTGAACCGATGATTTCAAAATTCCGCCAGATTATTGAAGACGCGGGCCCGCCGTGTTCTTTTGGATATTGAAGATACATATAACAGGTACAGTACTGTAGGTCGTACCATACGTCACAAGCAAATAATGCTGGGTTGAGTCAGAGACCGCACGCATTGCACGATCAAAACCAATCAATCAAATACACAGGAGAAACTGTGTACCACAATAAACCTCAGCAATGCAACCACGTTCTTTTGAAAGCAGAAGCGGAATGCGATATACTGTATCTTGCTACCGCACTGCTTACTGAAAGAATGTGTTCTAAAGTTGATCTGTGACCTATCATAATAATTTGCGACTATGGGTTGAAACCTCCAATCGAAAGAAAATGATGAAAATGATCATCAATCATTGATCATCTTCTCCAAGAAAGCAGAGCTGCGCAAATCACACTCATTCTCTCAGCTTCTTGGTGACACTTTGCAGTCTTTGATTGATATCTACAAGATGAATGAATTGGATCATGCTATACCGTATGCATCGTCAGAAATGCGTCTAGCAGACATGGAGCAGTAGGTCTTGACATCCATGAACGATGATTCGAAGAAGGTTGAACAGAAGAAAAAGACAGGTCGTTGAACGATTGATTGAAAAAATTACGATTCCTTTGCAACCAGCATATACATCAGCATTATTCGAGCGCATTACTGCAAAGTGAGATTCCTTTGTCCTCTGCTCTGGCACTCAAGGCTCCTGCAGAAGGAGTCTTTGACGATGCTTTGCGTCATCATATTGCTTAGTAAAGTGTCTGAATATTGAAGATAGGAATCATGGCATTTATAGCAATTCCACAAATTTAAAACTCAGCCAACACTGCAACACTGCAACACTCCTTGCCCTCCTCACGTCATCAATTGTTTTCCAGCGTGATAATGAGCAAATACCTGTACTGTATGGTCTACCTGAAGGGCGGGGAGATTGTTGATTTAGATGACTGTCACATTGTGGGGGAGGTTTGGAATGGGTGGTGTCCTCAGTCATGGAAAGTGGATTCAGCATTAATCGGAAGAATTCCACCACCTTGCATTATCGGTTTCGCCTCGTTGCGCTGGTCATCAAGATCGTCCCTGGGTGCATCTGAATTGCCTTGTATCCAATCCAACTTTTCGTCCACAAGATCCAATAGTTACTTCTTGTCATCCATGCACAAAATCACAGTCGATTCTTCTCTATCGAGGTTGGCCTTCAAGTCGTACAATATAAATAAGTGTCCAAACCAACTCAAAGACTGATTCCTGACTCCAATATCTATATAAAGGATCATTCAATTTGGATCGAATCCAAAATGTAGCTTGCAATACACTGCCCACTCTTCTGTATTATATATAATGGTATATTACTTCGTTCCTGACTGCGTCCTGCATTTCTTACTCCAACTCGTCCAGTACATCCGTCGAGCCTGTCCTTCGAAGCCGTGTTGGATATGGCGTCACTCATTCTTGTCGATTCCTTGCAGTAGCTGAACCGACCGATTCCAATACTTTCCCAAATAGCGTATGTCTCTTTGCTGTTTACATTTCATCCGATGGTTGCTTCCGCTGTCTTGTTTTTCTTGGCGTCATCTTTAGCTTTCTATTATATTGTATTGGTTATTTACCGTTGGGCATACTCCCAGCCATAAGAGCGAAATAGGACGTTCTTCCCAATCCCCCATCATACAAATTGTTCCCCATAGCTGGACTAAAACTGGTCCTCCTGCTTCCAGCAATCACAGGGTATAGTCTCCGTGCTATCTGTGAACCGACCCGTCGTTTTCACTCATCGTTTTAATTCAGTATTGGAATCGTCATCGTCATCGTCAAAGCAGGAGAAATCATGATGTTCTGAAGAATCTGAAAGAATATTCCGATTCATCTGAAATGCCATCATCTTGTTATAACGAAGAAAAGACCCAACAAGGGCTTGGCAATGTCCAGCCAGGAGTTTAAAAAAAAGGATTGTAGTGGATAAACTGACGAAGATTATTCGTCAATGAAAAGTCGAGTCTTTTGGAATGAGCCCAAAGTTCATCTCTGATTCGAAACTGATCAACTTTGATAGATGAGAGCAGAAGTGATTCGGATGATTAGAGTAAGATGATTCTGGTCATGGGAACAAACTTGATAGCAACTTTTTTGTATCTGGTTTGAGCGGCTACTAAGCACACGGCCGAATCGTAAAGAAAGCAAAATGGCCGATAATCGTGTATAGGATAATAATGCATGTGAGTCTTTGAATGTAGCTCAGTCAGTGGTGCAGAAACAAAGGTAGCATCCTTTTGGTTTCCCATCTTTACTTCCTCTATTATAGTCAAAGAACGGAATAAGTGACATATGGATGATGAGATGACGGCCACAAAGAATTTTTCGAAAAAGGAAGTGTCCGATTGAATATATTATTTCGACGTTCGGACAAAATGCTTTTTATTACGAACACTTTTTCTAGATCATTTTGAGCCCATGTTGAATATATATCCGCGAATCATCTTCTAGTCGTTGTTTTGGTCATTCAGAAACCTTACTGAATCGCAAAGGGACAGCTTGCTGGATATTTCCCTTAAGTGATGCAATTTCTCGGTCATCTTACAGGCGTTTCGCCCACCTTTTCGACCGCGGCTCGAATTGCAACTTCCGAAACTCAATCCAGAAGTGCCGAAGTTTCATATTATTTTCTTCTCGTAGATTGCATGCACCATGGACGATTTCATCACGCAAGAAATCAAGAAGCAGTGGGAGCAGATCTTCTACAAGGAAGTCCCATCGCACTTCTAGCAGCAGCAGTCCAAAGAGGAGCAACAATGAACTGCGTCGAACCAAAAAAAGCAAAGAAGAGCAAGAGGCCAAGGATAAGGCTCGTGCTGATCGAGACAGTACCACATCTGGGACGAATGCCGTCGATCATGCGGGTGCAGTAGCAGGCAAAGGCCGCAGCAACAACTATCGAAGTAGCAAAAGAAAAAGCCAGCAAGGTAGAGTGATGGTACTATCCAAAGAGGATGCTGCTGCAAAGGTAAAGAGCCTCATGAATCGAGGAGCAGGCGACGATCTTGCAACTGGACCGATGCCTGGTGCGCGTGCGGAATCTCGTGGATCTGCAGCCAATACCAAAGACTCCAAAACTTCTGGAAAGGAAAATACCAGCAAGAAAGTGGAAGATGAGTCCAAGGTGCCGGACAGTGCCGATGATGTTGACCATACGGCTGTGGTAGAACCATTCCAAGCACGAAAGAAAAATCGATCTAGCAACAGAAGAAGTCAACAAGA